ATAATAATAATCGAACTAGATACAAGCCAAAAAAAACTGATGAATATACTCGTGCTCAGTTTCAGTATATAAATCGATAAAGGAGAACTCATATGTAATTCAGTCATGAACTTGAAAAAAGCGATATATTTTATTTTGATCCATGCGTCATATAACTATATTCTTCATGTAATATCAATGATGTTTGTTCATGACAAAGTACAGTTCTCTGGAAGTATACCGAAATGTATTAGAAAATGATCTGATATTATTTCTCAGAGTTCGGTTCTGTATCTTTGTTTTTGGTATTGATTTTGAATCAGGTATTACTTTGTAAAAAAATCAAAATTTTTCATTGAAAATTTCATGAAATACATAGACAACTAACTAAAAGTTTTATGTAATTTATTAGACTAAAATCAATGTTGTTTTGTTCGTATTAAATAATGTTCTTGTCTATTATCGGTCCTGTTCAATTACTTTAGGATGATAAGATAAAACAGAGAAGAACTATTTCATTTGAATCTTCCACTATCTTCAAAAAAATTTCGTCTTATACACTATTTTCGAGTGAAAATTTAGATATCTTTATTCAGTTTAAATTTTTTCGTTGATCAAAACAATGATCACGTCTCGAATTAACCCTATAGACGTATAAGACACGTGAGCATTAAAATTGTTTTCAGTTGTCTATAGCAATAGACACATAATGTGAATAAACATATATCATCTATCTTTAGCACGTTGCGAAATATGTTTTTATCGGCATTGACTGTTAATGTAGTATGTTAGACATGATATAAGTGTTAAGCATTAATAGAATTGTGTCCATCGGTTATTTTATGTGTATTGACTGATGTATGAGTTCTATCGATTTTATCTACGAAATATAAGGATCTTGTCAATGACTTTTTGCTCTTAGACGTTTACTAGTATCCAAGGAGTCAAGAGACTATTTCGCACAATTTTGCTAGTATTTGAGCAGTTCACTAAGAGGAATATGATTGCAGTCTCGCATTTATTGACAAATATGATTGTCAATTAAAACCAATGAACTGTGTCGGCTTTATCTTTGTCTTACTTTTCGTTTGTCTCGAAGAACCTTCTTCAACAAATATTTTCTTCTCTAAACAGGCTTTTCTCAATGTAAGTTTTTGTTTTACAGAGAGTGATAATAATAAAAAGTTACAAAATCACAGAAAAAAATTCCGTTTGTAGCTATTTTGTGTGCGTAGGAAGCAACAGAATAATTGTTCACAAGGAACTATATACGTTTAAGAGAATCATTTTAATAACGGTAAGTATTCGAATATCAAATTCATTAGTATTTTAGCGAGAAAGCTGTAGATATTTCATTTGTGGCAGGTGCATTTTTATTTTATATGACTAAAACTTCCATTAGCTCTTCGTAAGTTCAACATACGTAAGTAAGAAAACTAACATGGATATTTGATAAGTTGCTTGTAGAGCTTTTTGCGAAGAATTCACTTTTGTAACCTAAAAATGATACTTTTGTAAGTGATGTCTTCAAATATGCTTTATCTTCTATTGAAGAGTGCCAAATAGAAACAATAAATACAAAAGCAACTGAAGCAATATTTTGAATTGATAATTTTTTTTGCAGATAAATACATTTCCATACTAACGTGCTGTTCTATTCCTAAATGCTGCACGATAACACCTTAATTAATTCCATCTTTAGATAAATAATAAATTAATCGATTGTCTGCATCTTATATGCTGTAAAGAACGTTCCGATATATATATGTATGAACAGTAAAAATACTTCGACTTATAGGTTTACACTAATATTAAACATATCTATTCTATGTGTAGAGTATTTGTATATATTTATGAGGTTTTTTGAATGCAACTCATCCACGTTCTCTTTTTATATTATTGAACAAGATATAGCGAGCATTAAAGAAATGTACATACAGAATAATTTCAATATATCCATTTAATATCTTGTATATTTGTATCAAAATTTTAGATTGCTATATTATAGATTATTTTAAAATGTATTTGGATTCAACATGTTCCAGTTCGGACCAAGCACCTGATGAAAATCATCATAAATCTGAAAATACTGCTGTTACAGATGTCGATATTGAAGAGCTTGAAAATCTTTTACCGTGTATTAAACAAACTCCAACTGATTATGAATTACGACTAAAAAAAGCCTGTCAACAACTTTTACAGCATCCTTGCAGTGTTATTTCAACGTTATCTTTAGTTAAAAAAATTGATAGGGAAGCAGCAAATTTACTTGTGGATGAATGTCTATTACTGTTTAGTGATGATTTATTTAAAGCTGATAGTCATCTGGATCTTGAAGGCTACACTAAATACATACCGAATACTATAGATTTAATATTTATTAACCGTCTGCTTCATTACAAAGTCGATCCGACATTATATGTTACGAACATTAGTATTCCACAAGTGTGGAAATTCTACTTATCTGACAACGCCATCATTCTCTTACGTTCTATGAAGTTCTATCAAAAAATTTTAGATTCAACACCACTTGAATCATTTGATAATCTTCAATCTATGAATTATCCAAATAATGATCAAAACGAAAATTCTTCATTAGTTTTAAATGATCAATTATGGAATGAACGATCACAACATTGTAAGTATTTTTATAAATAGTGCTTAATTTGTCTCAAACTGAAAGTAGGAAAAAGTACTCATATTAAACGAATGTTTCTCTAAAACGACTAGTACTTTGTTTAAACAAACTTCATGATGACAATACCTAGCTAGATGCTTTCTTTCATATTATATTCGTTGACTGATTTGATGGATTATATAGCACCTATATACAAAGGTATTCAAAATATTCGGACCCGTTTGAAAAAAGTTAAACTAATTCATCGAAGAAAAAATAGATAAATTTCAAAAATTTAAAGCGTTGTAAATGTTTTATTATAAATTCTGCAAAAAATCTAACATCTTCCATGCAGTACTAACAAATGTGTTGTTTAATACTGTAGTATCTTTTAATGCACATGCTTTTTGAAATAGAAAAAAAGTTTGAACAATATTCAGACATTAAATTTAAAACCTCTGATAAATCATTTTTAAGATGAACATATAGAATTAATATCAATTGCAACACTCTCATGTTGTGTACTAAGCATCATGATGTTCATAACAACGAAATTTTCACGTTGAGTTGAACACTAACTAGGAACTCGAAAAGTTTCTTGATATATTCACATCTTTTTAGTAAATCGACATAATGAAGAAAAATCATGTTCAATTTCACCATTATCGTGTACTATGGATCATTTAATATCTACGAGTGAGTAATTATTGTATTCCGCTATTTATCCTTCTTATTTTGTTTTTTTTTGTTATAATTTTAATATAGGCAATCATACTAATCAGTGTGATACTTCAACTAACAAATTCAACACTTCTTCAATTATTATTGCAGAAAATACTGACAGTACAAAGAAAAAAAGTGAAGACAGCCTGAAAATACTCTTAATTTATCCTTAGCTTTCTTTTGCATAGGAATAATAGGTAGTACTGATGAATCTAGCAATGATATGTTGGATAAAACCCCATCGAAAAAAAGACATTATATACAAAATAGTAATGGTTTTCTTCGTACACAATCAAATCTCTCTGATGCGTTTATCAATAAGCCAACAATGAACTGGAATTTGCTGCGAAAAAAAATCATCGGTTTAAGAAATATTGATAATAAAAGTTGTTATATTAATGCCGCTTTACAATGTTTGGCGAACACTCCTCCTCTGACTGAATGGTTGTTTGATCAATTCAATAAATCAAATACATGTGAGTAACATACATTTATATAGAAAAAAAAAATAGTAGGTGTCACATCGAAATTTCAAAGAAAAATATCGTATCAAACAATTCAGCAGTCTTAGCGTTTTCTTTTGTCCTGTTATGGATAACAGGATAAAACTGTAATGCATGACACAATTTTATAGATCTTCACCATAAAGTTTGCATGATAAGACAAAGAAAGTTTTCCTGCTTCTATGTCTGGTTCAGGTGCTTAGTAAAATGAAAGCAACAAGATTAAAAATGTTATAGAAAATGATATTTGTATGGTGTTTTAAAATAATTTTGTCTGTGAGAAAATAAAGATTCTAAAAAAAATAAAACTGTATACTCAGAATAAATATCAACAAAATTTACTAGAAGCTCTTTCAATTCATTTTTCATGAATATTTCCAGAGATATGATGACATTTTCAAACTGAAAAACGGCAGCTTTGTTAACATATTTCAATATAAAAAAGCAACATTTATTACCCAACTTTGTTGACTGTATATTTGCATTTTAGGTAAATTATCACATCAACGAAAATTTTGTTCTATCTGTGAATTAACAAAAATGATGTTCTCAATGCATCCGTCATTAACAAACACACCTATTGAATCACATTGTCTTATTACTCCATCAGCAGATTCTATTAGAGCTCATGTACATTTAATATCACCTGTTTTTAATATTGGGGAACAAGAAGATGTTAGTGAATTTATTATTACTTTGTTCGATCATTTTATTTGTTGTTTACCATCACATCTGTCAATATCATCTACTCTTTCTTTGGAATCAACGATTATTGATCAAATATTTAATATTAAGCTTCTTTCATCTGGACAATGTCCATCGTGCTTATATAGTTTCAAAAAAAAAGAAACTACTAATATGTTAATAATCGAAATCAATAATTTGAACAATTTAACTGATGCACTTGCACATTTCTTTGATCGAGAAGAAGTAAGCTCCTTTACGTGTAGTAATTGTTGTAAATGTGTAAAACTCGACAAACGTATTACTATTAATGAACTATCACCAATATTAATTATAAATTTTAAACGATGTCGTGTCTCATTCGATTCAACTGAAAAGCTTTCACATCAAGTGAATTACAATGAACTGCTAGATGTTTTTCCTTATATGACGTCTTATTCAGTTGCTTCAAGCGATAAAACTGAAAACATCGATTCATCAAATAACTTTTTTTACAAATTGTACGCCATCATCAATCATATAGGTGATGATCTTAACAGTGGTCATTATTATTGTTATGTTCGATCAGTAGACAACCTTTGGTTTCTTGTTGATGATGTACACTGCCGAACCGTATCTTCAGCTGAAGTTTTAAACCATCCACAAGCTTTAATGCTATTTTATGGTAAAGTATTTTATACGTCCAAAACAATAGATACGTCATTTCAACAAATACCACATCCATTAACATCTGTAATAACAGAAAGCAACATTAACTTGGATTCTTCTATTTCAAGTTCATCTGTATGAATATTATATTTATAACATAAATTGTTGTCGAACAATCCTTTTT